GAGTTCTGAGTACAATCGAAAGCACCACGACTGCAGTTTTTGTGTTGGATGTAAAAGGCGCACATGACTCTGTGACGTAGGCTAGAATCATGGCAACAGTCAATGACGGTCCAGGTGTGGGATTTCTCTCGTGGAAATATGCACATTATCTTTTCCTTTCTATTGGTAGGTGGCACAGTGCACTGTGGCAAGTAAGCAAGCTAGAAGACTGGCAACGTTATGGAAGAAACACATTAACAAGAGAATTCTGAGTAAGGCCAAAGTTACTTTCCCTAGTAACTAGTTACTTTGAAAGTAACGAGTAACTTGAAGTAACTGAGTTACTTTTGAGAGAAGTAACTAGTAATGTAACTGAGTTACTATTTTAAAGTAACTTACCCAACACTGCAAATCAGTAAAAACTTACCTGCACTCTGGCTGTGGTTGAAGAGTCTTTGACCTGATGGGTTTTCATCCTCTTGTTCTCACTAGAAAATTTGCCATTCAGCAGCTTGAGGAAGGACATGTCAGCATTGATGCTTTCAGATGTTGAGCTTTTCTGCTCAAGCCAGGACCTGATGATCTCTGAGCTGGTCTCCACACCTGTCTCTTTTTGAGGGATGACAAACACTTCATCTGGAATGAGGTAGAGCCCATCCTCAGTGGTCTGGCACTGGGAGTAGCTGAGGTTCATGACTCGACCCATGTCCATGTTCCGGAGGTTGTCCCAGCCTCCACCTGGCAGCACCTCCAGTGCTGTGATGGAGAGGTTGGTAGAAGCACGGCATTGTCTGAGCCAGTTTGTTGGATGGCTCACAGGTACTGAAGAGCAGACATGAAGGAAAGAGAAAACCAGGAAGGTCGCTGCTGTTTCCATCCTGACTGTGTCACAAGTGAGTGCTGGCACCACTGAATATAAAGCTTAAGCCACATCCCTCCTACTCTTAGGCAGCTTATCATATGACAAGAAAAAAAAATCTTGTGACAGAAAAGGCCATTTTCAGAAACTTGCATTTCTAAGTCTGTATTTTTTTTCTCATTAGATTAGTACAAGTTTAATCTAACATGATCTAACACTATGCAAAAGTATTTGCATCCTTTTTTCCACATATTTTTCCACATTTACATGTTTCAGAAAATCAACCACATTTTAACATAAAATGATCACCCAGAATAAATTCAAAAGGCAGTTGTTCTAATGACGAGTTGATTAATCAACAGAAAGTCATCCAAACCTACCCAGGAGGTCAAATAGGAATCCAGAAAAATAACTAAAAAACTACAGGTTTTACTTGCTAGTTAAGGTTAGAGTTCCTAATTGTCAGATTGTCAGTCAGAAAAAAAATGTATCGTACATACAGTCAAACATGGTGGTGGCAGTATGATGGTTTAGGGTTACTGCTCCAGGACCTGGACAGCCCAGTATCACAGCAAAACGCGTACCATGATACATGCCGGTCCTCCGTGTCTATTTCACGTTTTAACTCTCCAAAACATGAAATGAAGTTGCATTACTGCATGCAGAAATAGCATTACCGGCACGGGGAGTTAATATTTAAAGCCACGAAGTCGGTGGTGAGCAAAAAAGTATTAAATCTATTCCAGGGTCTTTAATTGCCAGAAATAATTAAACCAGGCGGCTAATATGTATATACTAGTGCTGTTCTGCAAAGCACTGTAGCCCTTTGGACCTACAGCTAATCCAAAACGTAGTAAGTAAATGAGACCTCCCAGACATTTTGTAAAAATACAAATTTAAAAAAAATTAAAAAGTCATAATTTTCTCTTTTGTCACACCACCAAAAGTACACAGTAACCTCAACGAGGTTTTAATTTCTCTTCCCCATTGGGGAGAGAAATTGAAACTTAACGCCAATCAACCAGAACAAGGTAAACTTGTTTTTTTTTTTCACATTTGAAGGAACCAAAAGTGAATATAAAAAGAAAATGTGGCTTGCACTGGGCAAAAATGACATCCTGGGCACATGAGTACACGTGACTGGAAATTTCTGAGAACTTTTGAGTCTCTTCCCAGAAGTCAATCACAAGCTCCAATTTTTGGCAAACTCTAAAATAAGAAAAGAAAAATCTCCAGGACTTACGCTGTCCTTTGCATAATAGATTTAAATTACATTACACACCTTATTTTCACAAATGCTCATGTTGCCTTGGTGACAATGTTGTGCTGCAGAGCCGTGTGTTAAACAAAGCAAAGAATTTGTGTCGCAAAGTTTTTATCATTGAATGACTCAATGAATCATTGCAGCCCTAAAATATATTATTAGTACTTGAGAATAATAAAAAAAAAAAATCTAGGGAATGGTTCACCCGCTCTGCACGGGATAGGGGCACAGGCCGAAGAGGGGACATGGGCCCAGCCTCCTGTAGGTCCACCACCTACAGAAGGTGCCACAGGGGTCGGGGCTGTGTGTGCTCAGGGGCAGAGGCCAAGGTGCACTGATCCCCACCAACCATCTTCAAATCTCACCTCTGGCAGAACTGTGACAGCATTCTGAGGAGAACAGGGAACATTGAGTCCGAGTGGACCATATTCAGCCCTTCCATTGCTGAAGCTCCTGCCCTTTGCTGCAAGGTGGTTGGTGCCTGTCATGGTGGTAACACAGCTCAGGTAGTGGCTGAGGCAAAAACACATGTGTCGGAGGAGTTCGGAGAGGCCACAGAAAGACTTTTGGACTGCCTCAAAGAGATTCTGGCAAACCATCAGGCGACTAATGAGGGTAAAGCTGTGGTCTACCTGCGCCATGTAGAGTGCGGGTGGAGCTAGGCTGACTTTGACTGAGGACATTGTCAGGAAGTGGAAGAAATATTTTGAGGACCTCCTCAATCCCACTGGCACATCTTCCCTAGAGGAAGCAGAGTCTGGTATGAGGGGGGTTGAATCACCAGGGACGACATCACTGAGGAATTCAACAACTTCTTGGTAGCAGTGCCCCTGGGGTGGATGAGGTCTTCCCTGAGTTCCTGAAGACTAGATTTAAAGACAAGGACTGCTCAATGACACTTTATAGTGATGCTTTATAAACTGAAAATTTAAAGCTTACATGTAATAATTTTAATCACACATTGAATTTGTATTGTTTTTTAAATAAATTATGTATTTTCATTTTGTGGAACATCCTGCAAAACATGGTCCCGTGCAGTCCACCAAGATCCTGACTGCGCGCTGCTGGAAGCAGGTGATGTAAGCGACTGCCAAATGTTGATTAGTGGACAAGCCGAATGGAAAAGACAAGGGGTTGGTAGCGCAGTTCACCAGGAACATGAGAATCATGAAAAAAGACTGGGTAATAGACTATTAAAAGTAGAGTCAATGGCTGCAGTGGACAATTTTCATAGTTTTTCAGCTGTTTATCAGTTATAACATACAAAGAGCTCTTCACCTCTTTGTGTACTTTATCTTCACTCTCCTTTAAAGCTGGCTGACAGACCAACATCAGGACAAGCAAGAGTGGCCCACAGAGCAGTTATAGCACATACTTTGTACACTTCTGACAACAGAGCTCACTGCAGGCCGGCTGACAGTGACCACAAAACCAACTATATGCAATATATATGTAGCTATATGTAATTGCCTGAGCCCTTTCCAAAAAGAAGCAAAGCCATGAGCTGAGAAGTGGTGTTATAGTTTCAGAGTACAGCCATTTAGCCTCTCTCTCATCCTTGCTAAATCTGTTTTTGGATGCGTTGAAATTGGCTTTGTCGCAACTCTAAAATGCTTCCTGCTTTTCCAGCTTTAGCCTCCTTAGCTTAGATGTGAACCAGGGCTTGTTGTTATTAACTCACCCTAGTGTGTGATGATATTCAGCTGTCCTCACAGAAGCTGATGCAGGACATTACAGACTCTTTATACTCATCAAAACTTTTCATAGCAGTCCAGAAAACATTGCAGTCAGCGCCATCCAGAGATGCATCTTTAGTCCACACTGACCAGGTGTTTTCCATACAGGCTTTGAAAATTTTTGTTTCTTCCTGTAAACAATGATCAAGTGAACCATAAAATTGCCTGAGAATCCTAATGCAGCTACTGGATTGTAGGCATTACTTAACGTTGTTTAAGAGTGATCCACATTGTTGTCTTCTGTGGTTAACTGTGGCTTAGTTTAACTGAGGTGTCCTTGGTTAAAATCACCAAGAACAATAACTAAGGAGGCCATGCATAGTATTTGCTCATAAAGTGAGCACTGACACACCTGTATATTGGGTTGCAGTGGAATATATATTCTATAGCCAGAGTGAAAGTAGGTAAACTTATGTTGGGAGTAAAAGGGTTTGGCGGAGTAGTTTGATGTTGCTGAACAGCAGTCACATTATTACACCATGCATGTGTATGTCTGCTATGACGGTACAGTGATGTTTCCACCTGTGTCAGTCGTAAATTAACAGATATGTCATTAATTGGCAGCTGCATGAGCCATTTCCCTCAGTGCAGTCATTATCAGACCTAATGTGTACCAAAAAGCATGCATTCTCCTCATCAGTGTCATCAATAATTTCTACAGGTTGCCTAGGGGGAGATTCTTCAGGCCAACCTGATGGGCCCTACACCCACGCCCAGTGGTGGGAGATCGTCAGCAGACTAAAAGGGCAACCTCACAGGCTAGGGGTGAATGTTACCAGTTTGGTAAGCCAGGCCAAATCACACCACACACTACTGTCCAGCTCAAGTCCACAAGGCCCAGCACCACAGCCACCATCAAACTGGGGTAGGGTGGCAGAACGGAGAAAACTGCCACTGACAACAAACCCTTCCTACCTTACTGAGTCACAATTGCGGGTAGGCCGTCTGGGTCAGGCACATGGATTGTATTTGGGGTTCAATGATATCACATGTAGAGCCTTCATAGACACAAGGTCCACACTCTCCCTGATTCGCCCAAGAACCTTTCCTGGTACTGATGGCCCAAGACCACACAGTTAAAAGCCTTTGAAGCTCCGTGTCACTATGGTTAGTGATGGACGCACCAGTGTTCTAGGAAAAAGATCTGTCCAGGTGACTGCTTATAACTGCCCGTTCTACTTAGCCAACATACAAGACCCCTGCATCATCAGTCTAGACCTAGACCTAGAATAGATGATTAAATGCTAGATGGTTGCTGAGGGCGGACAGGCTGATGTATTTCAGACATTGTTTCATTGTTGATGTACTGGGATATTGCTGTACAACCATCTCCAGGGTTTACGGGGAATGGTCTGAAATTAGAAAATATCCAGTGAACAGCATTTCCCTGAGTGACAATACCTTGTTGATGTCAGAGGAGAATGACCAAACTACAGCTGATAGGAAAGCTGCAGTAACAAGTTATGCAAAAGAGCATTTCTGCAAGCACAACACATATAACCTTGAATCAGATGGACTACAGCAACAGAATACCATACCTGGGGCCGCACTTGTCAGTTAAAAACAGAAAACTGAGACTTCATTGGCCTCTACAGTCACTAGATCTCAAGTCTAGAAGAGCATACTTGGGATGTGCTTGAAAGTAAAAGTGGATGAGCTGCTGTGACACTGACTGAAAGTATGTATTTCAACTTCTTGTAGTATTTCTCTGATAGTATGTTACTGTATTTGATCCTTTATACATGTTTATACATAAATAATCAACTAGAGTACTGTATAAGAAGCAAAAAATAAAATAAAAATGGGTATAAAATGGGGCCAAACAGGGCAGTGTCTTTGAAATCAAAGAACTGAAAGATTATGGGGAGAGCTAAGCAGGGTTTAGCCAGCATACTTTCAAGACCTATTTCCTCTTTATGGGAAATTTTGGAAGTCCATTTCACCTAAGGGCTTCTTACCTTGTATACATGTCAAAGCTCACTAGGTGGGTGGAGGAATCGGTAGATGAATTTGTAAATCAGTGGAACCACCAAAGCTTA